AAGCGAGTTTTTTGGGCAGTGTAGAGTAGGGCTTGTTGTTTGTCATTTCTCCGATCACAAATGCAGACATGGTTTTATGTTTACACGGCGCGATGCAACGCAACGTGAAAAAAAGACAGTATAAGTCATTATAATCCGTAATTATGTCCCCACTGGATGCAACAAATGCCTCGTTTATAATGGGTTTTAATGTTTTTGTCTCGTCGATCCGGCCGGGACACGCCATCACAGTATGGTAAGGGGCGTAACATTTCCGTCACACGCTTGAGGTATTCGGCCAATCATAACGCACTGGATAGCTGGCCAATCAGAGCACACCTCGCTTTTCAGACCGATGAGCTTTGTAAAAATCGACGCATTTCAGAAAGGCGGGGCATAGAGGAGAAACAATAATGTACAGTATGTGGAAAATATTGTGTTTTTTTAACCTTAAACCACATAAACACATTTCATTACACCTTTTTAGCAACATCATATGACCCCTTTAAAACATAAGAGTAGAAGCTGCATGTTTAATGAAATCTTACAGATTTCTTCATTAAAAGGGTAATAAATACATTTTTAAAGGGGAAAAAATATGTTTCTTCATGGGAACAGATTTGGAGAAATGTCGCATTAGATCACTTGCTCACCAATGGATCCTCTGCAGTGAATGGGTGCCGTCAGAATGAGAGTTCAAACAGCTGATAAAAATATCACACTGCAAAGCACAAGTAATCCACACCACTCCAGTCCATCAATTAATGTCTTGTGATAAGAAAAGCTACATGTATGTAAGAAACAAATCCATCAAGACGTTTTAATCTTCAAACCGTTGCTTGCAGCTAAAATACGAGTCCATAGTATTGCTTTCTCCAGCCTTTGAACTCTCATTCTTACGGCACCCTTTGACTGCAGAAAATCTATTGGTGAGCAAGGGATGTAATGCTACATTTCTCCAAATCTGCATATTGTCATTGTCTTCATATGTACACTCATCTACACTACTTGGTCTGTAATGTATGTCCACCAGAAAAAAGTGATGTTTGAACAGAAGCAGTGCTC